GGTATTAACCACAAAATCAGGTACTTTTAGTGGCAAACAGTTTATTTTAACGGCAAACGATAAAAAGAGTTACATCTTTTCCGAGTTTTCCATGGCAAGTCAGAAGAGCCGGGTTAGCCATGTTTTGATGTATCTGCATTTTTTCATTAGCTTCATTCTTTGTTGTAAAATTCTGGTCAAAATCCATTCTGTTTTTGCTTTGAAATTCAGCTTTTTAGAAATTCCCCACCACCTATTCTAGGCTATTTACAATCGATTTGCATCACCAGTACCATTTGTGAACAGTGTGCGTTGTTCGGTGCAACATCATGAACAAAATCCTGTTTTCAACGAAGAGGTATGCGCTTGAATTATTGCATTTTGTAATTTTCAGTTCTGATTTTTTGATAATAAATGAAGTAAAAAGCAGTACGGGCCTCAAAAGCCCTGTGAGAAAATGAAGGAGGGTGGTAACCAGGGCCAGGAACAACGGCCCATTCGGCGCAGGGTATCGACCGGTAAGGGTCCATCGACCAGTTCATAGATTCTTGGTAAATTTGCTTGTAAATATTTTATCCATAAAAGTTCTAATTGTAAAATCCAAGAAAGTGCTAGCTGAGTTGTGCGAGTTCACTGTTGCCTAACTTTTTGTAATTTAACATACTGCACTAAATTATTTTGCCCGATACGATATATTTTATACATCAGTTGGGATATTTATAAATGCCATGCGTTCTGATTTAAAAAAAAAGGGAAAGGAAAAAAAGGAAAGAAATGCAATAAAGAATTAATGTGCAAACTTACAATTGCTTCTGAGTTATAGGCCATGGGGCTGGACTACAAACAGCATCGGCAAAAGTCGTCATGGAATGAGCACTGATAGCATTTCTATGCATATCACTGCATATTTTCACATTTTACGCGCTTGAAAGATCTCAGGCTTTTTCTATTTTTGCTAACTGGTAGGGAAATAATAACAAACGGTCTTCGGCGTTCTTTGGCCAATAAAAATTGCTTTATTTTGTAAATTATTATTTAGTTTTTACGACAAAGAAGTATCTTCTATTTTTTTTAGCGTTTTTTATAATTTTAATAGTTTTTACGACACAAAAATATTTTTTATTTACCACTTTTATTTGTTTCATTTTTTTTACATAAAATAAATTTTTTTTTTTTTTTTTTTAACTAACGCTAATCCGCATGAAGCATGCAGATGAAGAATTAGAAAACAGACATGAGAAATACAAGTTATGCATTTGCAGAAGCCAACTGTGTTTCATTCCTTAGCTGAAAACAAAAGCAGAAAGGTCAACTTTATTTGGAACTGATTTTGTTTTGCAGATAAAAATTCAACTTCCAGTATCATTAGATGCCAATGATCATTTGTTATTTTCATTTACACATGTATCAGTTGCCGGTACCGCATCAAGCCGGACACCAAATGAGGTATTTTCTTCTCCCACCTTCATTATTTTATTCTTTTCTTTGGTTATTTTAGCGTATTTATAACAATACTTTTCAGGTGGCCACCATTCGTTAATTTTTGAAATTTTTAAATTTCACATAACAGAAAAATTAAAAAATTAATAAATTAATAAGTTTAATAGAAAAATTTATAAATTTTCCCAATTCATCCCGTTTTTGCCGTTTTTTGCTAGTCCCCGTCCTTAAATTTTTGAAATTTTTTCATATGCCTCAACATTGAAATATTTGAAATTTTTGCATATGCCTATACCAGATGTTTGGGTACCATATACCAGATGTTTGGGTAATTGACAACCAAATCGTTTGAGGATTGGTTTGTTAGCGGAAGAAAGAATTTTGGGAAAATGGACATTTCTGGGATGTTTGAGATTTTTAGAATTCCACTTTTTTTACTGTAAAGTTTTCTTGGCTTTTTGGTATGATATTATATATTTTTTCATCAAACAAGACAAGTTTACGTGCTTTTTTGTTTGGTTGAAAAAAAAACAATCCAGAATTGATGTATAATTTATTTCGAATTACCCCAGCATTGCGAATATAGACATTTTGTTGCATTCGACATTCATTTTTAGCAGTTTTTTTCAAAAATTCTGTCAGAAAAATTGCCTTAACTATAAAACCTTAGCAGCGTATGATTGTATTCGTACGAATACATGCAAATTTTACAGAACAATGAAAGCCCCGTCGGTTATGCCTGGTTGCCATTGCTCAAAAATGATCGATTAATTATCGAAAACGACGAGCAGGAGCTTGCGCTATCAGTGGCTGCCGATTTACCGCCCGGCTATATCAATTATCAGTTACTTGGATTCGGAAAAGGGGTAATTTTTTCTTTTTTTTTTTGAACCATCAGCAAAAAATCTGTGAAATTCAATGCAGAAGTATTTTGTTGCTCAACAGCTTTTCATGGACATGTCTGATTTGTCCTTCTCAATTTTGGAAACACACCAACTGGCGCTTCTAAAGCGTGTATTTTGCAGCATGCTGGGCCAGATATTCGATGGGTGGATAGCGGTAAGCAACTGTTTCGAGTACGTCTACGACTTATCTCATCAGCTTTTACAACAGAGACGAAACTACAGGCTTTTTTCCAAAGCTGCCTGAAATTGCAGCGAGCCGGCATACTTGGCGATGCTTCCCCAAAAACTGCTGTTAGTTCTTTTTTACAACATTTTCAAGTTTAACATTGGAATTCCCTCCTTAATTACCATCTTTAAGGGAGGGGGTGAATAGCTAACTTCAGGAACCGCGCGGAGTTGCCTGTTTGCCTTTGCTCAGTTTCTTTTTTTGAAGGTTTTTGTGACATTTTTGCTTCAATCTATTCGGGTCAAATTTCTTGGAGCTATTTCTTGGAATTTTCCAATCTTTCAGTTTTTCATTATAATAGATTTTGGATAATAGATTGCAGTGATTAGACCGTGTGCGCTTCTTGCCTTCTCATCTGTGCTTGGGCTGAAATTTGGCGCTAAACCTTGGTAATAAAAGATAAAATAAAATGCCTGGGACAACTTTCAATTCATAGTATTGCTCTTCAGTTATGCTTTCACCGATGCTTCTTCACCCGGTAACCAGTTAGCTGGTGATCTTCGCATTCATTTCATCTTATAACGGGATTCTTGATGATTCTTTAAAATAAGAAGCACTTGGCAAGACATAAACTATTTTAAGATATCCTTGGTGTATGTTGAGCATCACCATCTAATTTTCGCTTTACCATTTGGCTTCAGGGAGCTTAGAGCTATATCTTTGTGACAAAGGCACCTCCACATTACAATGTAACATTCCGTGTACTCTTATAGGTATTGCATATGGGATTGCATGAATGAATGCCTTGATATGAGGTCCAGCTGGAAACCATGTATGAAGGAGTAGAGTATACTTCATGGAAATAAAAACCTTGGGTGTCGTACAGGAAAACTCGGGTGTTTGCCGAGTTGTTCGCAATTAGGCGCATTCTGCCCTCCCCCCTCTCCTCGCCCCCAGAGGCAAAGCCACTACAAAAGTCAGGGTCTAAAGCTAAAACTGAAGAAAACTTTCTTCCACTGCCTCCGTTGCCTCTCCTTCTCGACCTCTCCCCTCCTCCTCTCCGCCCTTTCCTGGGCGCCACTACGCCTAAAACCCTATTCCTTCCCCCGCTCGTCTTTGGTAGAAGCCTCAATCTCTTCATCCTCCTCCCCCACCCACAATAAGGCCGTCCTCGATCCTCGTATGTGTTCGCATCCTTATAATTAAAGAATTTCTTTTCTGTATCTCTGAACGCTGTATTTCCCTATTTCTCTATATAGCCCCGTTTATTACTTTATGAATATGGAAGAATGAAGTTTTCTTACTTTGAGCGTTGAAAGCGTCGCTTCAAAAACTCATATTTTCACTGAAAACGGCGTTTTTTTCGACAATCGAGCAGAGTGCATGTTTAAAAGCAAAACTTCTGCGTCAACTTACTTTCTAAGTTAGCTTTTTAAGTTACTTGAGCACTTTTTCTTTTGTTGGATCTCTCTCCGCGTTGTTGTAGTGGTCGAGCGGTGCGAGGGCTTCGGTGCCACCCGAAAACACGAGCAGCACTTCAACGCCACCACCTCCCTCAGTGCCAGTCAATCGTTCCTGCTCACCGATTATCGAAAAACGCGAAGTGTCAGAGGAAGAGAGAATGTGTCGTTCTTTAGCCAAAAAAACTGAGGTGAGGATTCCTCTGTTTCTTTCGCAACTAGTAGGTTATCAAGAAAACTGCATTTTTAATTTATGTGTTTTTGTTTTTTGAGTTCTCGCTTAGTTTAGGCATCGAAATAATTCTGTCTGTCCCTCTTAGCACTTTGAGAGCTAAATCGTCGTCATCAGTTATGGATTTGAATATTTTTGCATGGATTTTTGAGGCCTGGTGATTTTTGGATGATCGTGGGTATTTTTTTTTCGTTTCAGCTTTCCAAATTTTTCTGCTTTAGTTTTGTTTTTTTTTCTTCGGCCACTTTTCTTTTCAAATTCTAGTTTATTTTTTTACATTTTTAGTTTTTGATCTTTTCCGGTTTAACAGTATGCACTTCTGGCTTATTTCTTTTGGTCTATCGCTTCATGCCTTCCAATAACAGCTTTTGAATTTTCCGATTTTGGTGTTTTTTTTTTTAAGTTCGTAAACTTTGTTGAGGAAACTTACTTAACTTTTCGGCGCTTCTCAGTTGA